TCAGCAAAATCATTATATTTAACAAGTAAAAACTGACTTTACTTGCACAGACAGGAATTTAGAATAGTCTTGATTAATGATAATGCTATTTAAAAAAATTTTGTTACTACAAAAAAGTAAAGAATAAAGAAAAAATACGTATTTTAAAAATTTTGGTTGCTAACAATGATAGCAGCAACACAAATTCATGGAGAATTCAGTGAATCCCAAACTGCCTTATAGTTTGTTGCAGTTGACTCTGTAATACATATTTAAGTAATAAAATTAGAATGAATTCCAGTCATTATCAGAAATGTGAAGGAAAAATAGGTTTTCAGGTAATAAAATAGCTTATTTTGTTCATAAGTAAGTTACCCAGCCCAATATTCTTTAAGGTTAACATCTGATAAAGAATAACATATTTTGCATAAAGACATCCATACTCAGCTAATCTGGGATGAAAATGACCCAATGAGTCCCAAGTGTTTTAGAAATAAATCACGGGCTGAGAGAATGCCAACATTTATGTGAGGCACCTGAAATGAGGCTTTCTTACTGGTTATCCTATTAAAGGGTCAAGAACACCGTGCATCTATAAATAAATCTCTCGATTACCAATGAAGACGGTAAACCTTTAAGCGCTTCTGCATTTGCTAGTAACTGATTTTTGCCCCTAATCCCTTCAGCCTAACAGCTTCATAGATGTCTATTTTTAGTTATTTAAATCTGCTCTAAAAAATGTTAAGAAATACAATATCATATATGCAAGGTATGGTTAAAGGATACAAAGGACAAAGAAGTACTGAGGTCAAGTCCACCATACAAAAGGCACAGACTAATGTCAAAACATGAGAATGCAAATTTAAGCATTAAGAGCTAAGTCTCTTGGCTGCAGAAATCCTCTACTTCTTTTTGCCTTCTGATATTCCTATGTTCCAAATAGTTCACAATTTTTTTTTTCAGTACACTATCCTGTCGTAACCCAAAAATTTGAGACTAGGCATTCTATTTTAAAATTCCATTTTTCCATCTTATACTTGAATTAGTCTTTATATTCACAAGATCAGAACTGGCATGTTAAATCTACAGAAGCTAAAGGGCTAGTTAGGAGAGAATTTAATGCAGCAAAGAGCTCCATCTCCTTATTCCATTATGATCTGCTTACTGAGTCTAAAAACCACATGCTTCATTAAGTTACTTAAAGGTTTTAGTTCAAAGCAATTGAACAGCTTTTAACTTCCCATTGGCAACTGCATGTAATTCATGGGCTGGGTAAAATAATATTTCAATTGCCTGAGTAAAATGTAAACACATAGGATATTAAGATGTAGCTATCTGATATCAATAATTTACTGATGATTATTTTGGTGATGGTATATAATAATACTGAAATTTAATACCATACCATAATTGCCTTTGTATCTTCCAAAAGAACAAGGAAGGTTACAAATTCATAGAAAACTGTTCATGTTTGCTAATGTACAACAATATTGAGTATAAGGAATATACAAATTGTTAATTCTCAACAACTTCACTGGAAATTAAGGGAGGAGTATATAAGAACATGCTACCAAGAAATAATTTTATTGTTTTGGTGGCCAATTCTTTAGATGTCTGATACAATTTTGTGACTCTAACTATTAGAGAAAAAGTACCTTTAAATATAAGGAAATATAGCTCTTTTACTTTCTTCCAATAATGGTTAATGGCAGGAAATAAGAAAAAAAAAACTTTAAATAAATGACTGTTATCCATTAACTGTCCCATACTAATTCATTATCAATATGTCCAGTTTAAATTATTTATAAATAGCTATGCAAAATTGAATTAAGAAATAGTGTTTGGTGAATATGCTCTTTTGTTTCCATGGAAACAAATGTTGAGTTGCATTTCTTTAAAGTTGGTTTTTTTTTTTTTTTTTGGTACCAAGGATTGAACTCATGGGGCACTCAACTACTGAGCCACATCCCCAGCCTATTTGTATCTTCTTTAGAAACAGGGTCTCCCTGAATTGCTTAGCACCTCGTCCTTGCTGAAGCTGGCTTTGAACTCATGATTCTCCTGTCTTAGCCTCCCTAGCTGCTGGGATTACAGGTGTGTGCCACCATGCCCAGCTTAAAGCTGGTTTTAAAGTGGAAAACTATAGAATGTCAATATCCCAGAAACCTCAAAACTTAATATATTTCATATTTTTAAAATTTATTTGGTTTTCAAAACAATAGTCCATAGCATGCCATATAGCTCAAGTAAACCATCTATAATTTCTACTGATTTTCGTTACCTGTTTGATTATGTCTTGTTATAACCCGCCCCCACCTCATTTTAGTAGAATGGCTTTATTTGGCTATGCATCCTCAGCATGTGACACAGGATTCACCTTAAGATCTTATTTGATAAAAGCAATTTAAATGAATGAATATAATAAACTATTTTCTCCTTTCAGTTCTGATAAAACAGTATTTTACAGTCAAACTAGCAGTTAAATTTCAGTCCTGATTTCTATAGTTAACTAGATCTGTGACCAAAAGCCAATCACAACACAATCACATTTCTTTTTATCAATTTCCAAAGTCATGGGGTTGTTGTCGTTTTGGTTTTCCTTCTTCTTTTTTTTTTTTTTGGTGTTGAACTTAGAGGTCCTTTACTAATGAGTCTCATTCCCAGTCCTTTTTATTTAGAGACAGGGTCTCCCTAAGTTGCTTAGAACTTTGCTACATTGTTGAGGCTGCTTTTGAACTTGTGATCCTCTTTCTCAGCCTCCCAAGCCACTGGGATTACAGACATGCAGCATCACGCCCAGCTATTGTCACTTTTAAACAACATAAATCATTAAAAGCACCTAGAAGATTTTTAGCATAGTAAGAAATCAGTAAATGATACCTATAGTAGTTATAGTAACTGTAGATACTGGGGTTGCTATCTATTCTTACCAGGCAAGATACTAGAGGCTCTGTCTTTATTCATCAGTGTAAGCCTGCTTTTACTTCCATTCTTCTGACAGACCTTCTGAAAAGCTAGTGCTGGACATTAAACATTGAGGTCAGGATTTGAAACTTCCTCTCCTGACTTCAGGCCCTGGGATTTCCCTAATACCTCATGCTACCTGTTCAGGATGTGTCTCAGATATCCTGAAAGACTCAACCTCTCTTTTAAATATTTTTTTTTCCAAAAATACTTCTATAAATTAAAGAATGACTATCTGATCCATTACAGAAGATAATTAATTAAAAATTAGTAGGTTGTAGAAAGAAATTTGTCTAAACTATATTTCATTTTTACTTTCTAAGGAAATCAATTGGGTTTCCTTGGTGTAGTGCAAGAAAGCATAAAGTGTATTTTTAATTCGGAAGAAAACATCTCATTGTTTCACAGGCCTGAGTCCTTCTAAAGTGTCACCCGGTTGCCCCAGTGAATATCCAAAAAATCCTCTCTATTGATGTCCGTTTTGTTATAGCATCTGGTCACACACTTTTTTTTAAGGAAATTCTATTAAAAAATAAAAACACTCTTTTCATATATAGTGAGGTTCTTTTAAATAAAGAGATGAGAATGCTGGACCTTCTACTAGAAATCTTCAATGGGTTATTATAATTAATATGCAAAGAGTATTATTGTCAGAAAAACACTCTCATGTAATCTGGGCATTGAAGTTGAATCCTGGTGAGACTAGTGTTAACATGGGGGTAACATGTATTAGCAAATAACAATACTACCACCCTCTGATATAAACAAACAAAATCAATACTCTGAGGCATAGGGCTATTCCATGAATAAAGTCATATGTCCAGAAAATGGTCAGTCAGTATTATGACACATGAGCTTTTTACTATATTTTTCAAATTAAATGTATGAAGTTGAAAGGTTCTGTGGAGAAATATTGACATTCTTAATGAAGAGACAGAGATGTGGCAAATAGGCCATGGATAAGACACATAAAATAGTCATTGAAATTTAGGTAGGATTTCATTCAGTTCAAGTATTTGTTTTTTCATTGTTATCTAGTTATAAGAAGTAAGGTATGTTTATAAAGTTACAGATCAGTAAAAGGCAGATGACCAAAACAAGTATTAGACTGAACCATATTAGCTGTCAGACACTCTACCATTCTGACCTACAAAAATGACAAATTAAACTTAAAGCCATGCTTAATTAATAATTACTTCCAAAACACATTATAATATTCTGTTAAGATGCTTTTATCTACAAAAATATTAAATTAGTTCTAATTCAGAAACCTAATTCCTATTAAGTTGGAAATGACCAATATGGAGGATACAATTAATAAAGAAATAATTCTTATTTTGAGAAAGTAAATATGTATTACATAGATTTTTGTGTAGTTATGATGAAGTCAAATGCATATTTCTAAATAGAATACATATTTTGGAAAAGAATAGTACAGTTCAATGATGGCGAAGCCACTGCTATAATACTATGATACAAAAATTCTTGAGAGGCTGTTACAATTGTGTCATATGCCAACATATTGAATACTGAAACAGATAAGACAATTCAGCCATCTTCAACCAACCCAGACATTAACACGCTTTTAAAAGTATAATTACATGTATTTTTCAAAATATGGAAAATACATGTATTTTTTAAAATGTTATTTATATTTTAAGCAATTAGTTATTATATTATTTTTAATGAATTGATAATATTTAAAATTATCAGTTTTGGTATCAGTACAGTAAATATTTAATTATCATCCACATAAGCAAAAGCTTCTGGAAGTACCCCCCAAATTTAAAAACATAAGGTTCATATGAGCAAAAAAGCTTAGAAATATAAACAAAAAATATTGTTTGTGAAATATTAAAATGGTTCTTCACTTTTAACAATTCTTTTTGATGAATACCTTTAAGATACTTGAAAAGGTGTAAGAAATCATTTAAGATAGATCTATTTAAAAATCCTTACAACATTTTGTTCATGATGTAAAAAAAAATTTGAGCCCTATAGAAATTGCCCCATTTGCAAAATATATTTATAACTTAACCAAAATAAATAATTCATACCTCACCAAGTGAGTAATAACGTCTTGGGATCTGGGAGTCCGGATAGATGTTTTCTAGGTACCAAGAGAAAGGCTTACACTTCAGATTTTCTCTTAGTGTTTTTCTGACTGACACATCTCCATAATCCACTTTGACAACACCTGGAATTTTTCAGAGAAACACAAATCAGTTGATGCTATTTTCATTTTAGCACTTTTCACTCTGTTTACTTTGCTATCAGTTTTTGTTCTCTATCATTATAATTTCATCAAATTCAATTGCATGTGCATCTGCTATTACACTGGTTTTCTTAGTACACATACAATTAGCACATAAAATAGATGCAAAAACAGTTCTTCCATTGGTTATGACTTTTTAAATGCAAATATTTATCACCAAGTACTGGTAATTCTTATATCAACTAAATGTAAATTGGCATTAATTTAGTAACTCATAATCAAAGCTTAACAGAAGTATGCAATAATGTTATCTGTTTTTCCTTTTTAAAAATTTCAATCTTTATATTTTCCCTAAAATGTGCTCACCATCTGTAGATTTTATGAGAAATTTATATAAATATGATCCTTACAATGAACTACACATATGTGATCTAACTTTCACTTGTTTTCAATGTTAGATCATTTAAGTCCAGCAAGCAACCAGGCACAGGAAAAAAAAAAAAAAAGACCCATTATTTAGGATATTCAGACCAACCAGTAGAGCCAATAAATCACCCAATAAAATATTCAGCCATTGTTTTGACAAACTGAATGTCTGTGACTAATCCAATTAGTAGTTTACTACTTTCAAAAGTAGCAAAATTCTCAAATTCTATCATCAACTAGCTCCATCTCCTTCATCTCTTCAATCTTTTTTCAAAATTAAATGGCATAATATAATTGAAAAGCATTCCTGATTATGCTTAAACAGCAAAACCATTTCCTTCCAAAAAATATTGATCTCTTCAGTTGGTGTTTGGACAAAAATAACAAGGTCTTTGGACCTTTTGAAATCGATAATATTTGCTTGCAAAAATCTTTCTATTCAGAACTTCCAATCTGGGGTGCAACCTTCAAATAAAGAGGCTCAAAAACAATTTTGTATTTTGATCACTAAAAGAATATCTTGCTGTGTTGTGACAATTGAAATGAGCTACATTATACTTAAGGAGATGCCATTGGTCTAGAGTCGTAGTGTCAGAGGATTTAATTCAACAATTACTTTTACTGTTCTGGTTCCATTTTTGAAGTGAATAAATTTAATTGAGATGGCTTATTTAATAACAGCATTCTCCATTTTTCATCTGAAGATTTAGTAATCCTAGCTTCAGACTTTTTTTCCTAGGCATGTTTTATGAGTAGTTTTCTGACAAGAAGTCATGTCTGAAGAAGACTCACCTGCATATCATTTTACAGTGGTCCACAGAAAACATTAACTGCTCACCTTGGCAATGGGCAGTTGGTGGAGATTCAAAGAAATTATTGAGGAAAGGTAAATCCTTTTTGACCTGCCATACCTATACCACCCCTTTGCACTGGCACAAAAACTGGGATTTTGTCTTAATCCCAATTATGGTAAATCACTTTTAGAAATGCAAAATAACATTGTCATTTATTTCTGTATTTTGATGAGAATTTTTTCTCTCTCCAGGTTCCCTATTTTACTATTCAGAAGTGAAATGTTATGAAAAGACAGCAGGGCTAACCAAATACTCCAAACAGGTCACATTTCCCAGGCACCTGCATTTAGGTAAGGGCATCTGGTTGGTCCTGGTCAATGAACTGTGGGGGGAAATGGACAAAGTCACTTGCAGTCTTAAAGACAGAAGAACAGCTATGAGACACCACAGGTTCCTTCTCTCTCCTATAAGGACTGAGAGACCTTGTATCCCAGCATGTGCAGCTGCAAGACAATAGGACCCTTGTTGTGCCTATGACTGTGCCAGGCAGACCTGGAATTAGTCTGGAAATGCCATCTTACTTGTTTCCAAACATTTATCTCCAACCCAAACCTCCCCCAAATTGTTTTTCAATTGTTTATGCAACAATTTTATTGAAATATCTAATAGGTATCTCAAGAATGGCAAATCTAAAATATGATTCTATAACATGTTCTGTCTCTAAGATTCTCCATTTCCATTATTAGCTCAAAGAGCCATCATTTTTTTTCACTGGGCTAAGACAGATAATTCTCTTTATCTCACACCCACACTTGCAATTCATTAACAACTGCCACTAGTTATGCCTTCACAATATATCCTTAGTCCTCTACTGCTTCCATACTGGTCCTGTCCTCTCATCTCTTAGATCAATCCCGGGAGACATCCTTGAACTGTGCGTGAACTAAAAATGAAGTGGAAGCCATTAGACAGGAAAGTCTGGTATCTGGGAACTCCCAGGGACAGCCCTACTGGTTTGAGACTGCCCAATACGTGTGACTTCCTAATTCGCTTCATCTAAGTTCAGCACTGCAATAGAGATGGGATGACCTGCTGGAGCCACACAGCCTCTTAGAGATGGGTGTGGTTTGCCAAGATGCCAGTCAACCTGTTTGCTGCAAGAATCCTGTCACACTGAGAAGCAAGAGTCCTCCTGCTGAAACCTGCCTTTGATGTGTTTTCCTTTAAATAAAGAAATGAAGCAAATGTTTTTTTAGTTGTTGAGTTCCAGCTCCTTTCAGGACTGGAGGAAGTACCAGACACTCTGCTTTCCTTTTGTACCTAATTTCTGGCTCTGTCTCTTATTTCTTTCTAATTATTTCAGACTTTCTATTTCTCAGGCAGCTCACACCGTCTGAGCAGAAAGCTACCCTAGCAGCATGCTGGCAAACCCTAAATAGACCAGCATTGAAAAGGCCTCCCAACTAGCACTCTCAACATTTTCCATTTCTCCATTTATCTTTTATTCACTGATGCCTACTCATTAGACAACTTATTCAAAATACAAATAAAATTATGTTACCTCCCTGCTCCTAAGCATCCAGTGATTTTCCACTGTACTGAGAATAACTAATCATCTCTTAATGATTGCCTGGAGACTCTTCATTGAAATGGCTGGTTCTTGGCTATCTCTCTGAATTCATCCTTGTTTTGCTTTTCTTCAAACACACCAAGCTCATTTCTTTTTCAAGGTGTGTAATTATCTTCCTGTCTGGACTAGTATTAGTTTGGGACTTTCAGGAATTGTCCTTTACTTGTTCCAAGTCTTTCCTTAAACTTTACTTATCCAGGTTTACCCTGATCTTATCGAAGTTGACTGCTTCCTAGCATCATCCTTGGTCATGTTCTATTTAACTTAATTAATTTTTCTCCATAGCACTAACCCTAATATTATATGACAGATTAATTTGCTCATTTTCTTTATTACATGATTTTGGACAATTTTTTTTATCTCTTGAATCTTAAGATATCTTATTGAAAATACCTTGTAATATATTGTGAATAGGAGATATGGTCTGGAAAAGGCCTACTACGGTGCCTGGAATATAACAATTGCTTAATATCTAGTATTTATTATAACATATATCTGTTGTTTTTGCATGTCTGATATCCATCTGACTTCTGGTAAAAGCATTAGTTTTCTTTGAGTAGACATCCCTCCCTGACTTTCAGTTTGGGTGGGGCTGTTCTCATTCCCCTTCCTAACCTTTTAGCTCCATCTAGGTATACAGACTATATTCACATTACTAGAGAGTCTTGTTAAAATGAAAATTCTAATTTGGTTGGTCTCGGGGAGGGCCTTTCAGTCTGCAGTTCAGACAAGCTCATGGAGGATGTTGCTCAGACCAGAATATGATTAGCACTCAAGATAATCAGAGCATTTCATTTATCAACCTTATATACAAACAGATAGTAATGATTGATTCATGCATGGGCCTGTGAGAACCTAATACAAGTTTACTCCAAGAAGTTGTTTGTACCATCAGAAATTTAAAGCTCTATTTCCTCTGGAATTGGTACTTACAAAGATGATTTAAACCTGAGCTTACGGAGATACTCTATAGAGAAGGCCTTGGACAGAGACACCTTGAGGAGTAAGATAAATAACCAGAAGTGTGTGTATGGGGAGGGAGGGAGGAAGGAAGGGAAGGCAGGAGAAAGAGAGAGAGAGAAAGAGAAAGTGGGCCCAGAGGTCAAATCATGATTAATTCAACCAATATTTGCTGTAGTCCAACTACATACAAGGCACTTATTCTAGATATTTTGGATACATTTATAAACAAACAAAACTAACCACCTTTGTCTATGGATTTTATATTATATATCATATATATATATGAATGATACATGCTATGGCAAATACGGACTTGGACAGGAAAGGATGATTGCAACTGAAGGAATCTTAATACATTATTACTTTTTGCAAAGACAATTTATATAAGTTGACAGTTTTTAAGGCAAGTCTTTCAATGAGACTTATAAAAGCCCTAAAAGACTTTGATGATGAGATAAAAATGTATAATAAGAAAAAAAGTGTATTTTAATTAACTCCAGGTTTTTGGTTTGATTAATAGAAAAATGATAACACTTATGGGTTGTTCTATTTTATTTAATAACTTTTCCTTTATTAATCATCTTGAAACACATTGCATGGTAGTATTAAATTCATATATTTAGAGCAATCATGTTTTAAATTTTAAATAACTATTACATGGAAGACCATAATATTCACAGTTAGTACTTCCCTAGTACAGAACTAGTAACTCTAAGAATTCTAGTTTTCTATAATCTAGGTGTAAAAAACAAATACCCTGATTGCACACTATAGCTTACAATCTAATGGATAAAAGTATCTTTTGCAGAATAACTTAAAGTGGAGAAAAGGGGAAACTATTTTCCTTCTATAAAGAATGCTTAAATAAATCAATTGTACATCTAGTAGACACAATATAATTTACATATTAAAATAATTGTCAATATAGGAATATGAAAAATGTTAATAAAAACCTAAAATTTTATGTGTATATATATATATGTATATATATATACATATATATATATATATATAATACTGCCACTAAAACCAACTCAAATGGAAATAAATTAAATAGCAAGAATCTGAGAAAAATAAAAACAGTACCTTCCCTTTGCTACTCAAAAAATAATTGATACAAAGAACTAAGAAGGCTCCCATTCCTTTCTTAAGCAAAAGTCAAAACTATG